CTTCGGACTGCACGCGCACCCCACTGTCTTTGCGGAGTTCACGAAGCATGGGCGCGTCCGCGCCAGCACGGCCACCAACGTGATCTACCGTCTTGACCCAGCGACCCAGCAGAAGCAGCACACAGCCTTGAAGGGTGCTTTCCCGAAGGAGAAGCGACCAAGCGAGGGGCCTCGGCCAGACCAGTCCACGCACCACGGGCTTAGGTTCCTTTCAGCGGCAGCACTTCAGCACTTCAGGAAGACGTGCAGGCGAGACGCTTTCTACTCGATGGCCCTCCCGCGCGGCGCGTTCCCTGACATGGGCGCGGCGTTCTCTGGGTCACGGCGGCTTGACGCGCCTGCGGTGCTGACTCTCACAGACGAGGAATACACGCCACCTTTGATGTTGCCCGCGGGTGCTGCTGCCCACGCGGGTGGTCCTGAAGGCGGTTTGGATTTGGCAGCGCCTGGTGGTGTCCCACCTGCGATGGAGCCACACGAGCACACACTCCTCAAGGTGGTGCACAAGACGCCAGCGAGTCGGAAGATCATCAAACCGCACAGCTCCAACCTCACACACGATGACGTGGCCGTGTCTCTGCACGACGTTTTCGGGTACGACCGACTAGACGGGTCCACCGAGCTCCTGGTGGCTTTGACAGGGGTGCGGGCTGGCGAGGCCGCCGTGGCCGATGACCACGACTTCGACGCAGCAATAGACGTCGGCTCCACGTCGCTGCTCCACAGGCGCCATCTGGAGGCGCTCCCGCGTCTGCACCTGGACTTCCTCCAGTGGCAGGCAGAGGGCGGCGTGTTCTACCAGCCGCGGGCGTGGCCCGCCAGCGTGCCCAGGGACCTCTACGGGAATGCGTCCGAGGCGATGACTGACATGGTGGTGGCGGGGGCTCTCCCTGGCGCAGAGACATCTCTGCTCGCGCCGCCCTCCCGCGCCCTGGAGGCCCTGGAGGAGGCTGGCCTCGTGGACAGGCAGGCGGGGGACCTTGGCGACCAGCTCGACCGTTGGAACATCAGCCCCGCTGGCATGCGGGACCTGGCCGCCTTCGAGAAGCTCGTGAAGCCAGCCCCAGCGCTGACGGCCAGGCCTGGTGTCCTGGACAAGGATTCCACAGCGGGGAAATTTTTTTGAGGGCATGCTCTGTGGGCGGGTGGTCGCGCCCCTGCGCCACCCGCCCACAGAGCATGCCCCCCCCCCACACACACACACACACTGCCGTGCACCCTCCCCCACCCCACACACACCATGAGGACAAGACCTTGTTCGAGCTGCTCCTGGACGCGTCCAGCGAGGGGTTCGCGGGCCAGCTTCTGCCACGACCGCCCCCCGCTCCGTACGACCCCAAGGGCGGCGCCAAGGTGTGGTTCTACCAGGCCTCCAAGAAGAAGATCTGCCCCGCGTACATTCGGGCTCTCCTGCAGGGTAAATCGGTCGTGGCCCACGGGCTCGCCGACAGGGACTACGCCCTCATCGCGGGCGCCGTCCGTCCAGCTCAGAAGCGGGTGGCTCTCCAGGACGACACTTGGGGAGTGCCGCAGAAGAAGGCAGCGAGACGGCGGCCGATGGCCGCCGCCGCCGCCGCGCCAGCCCTCGAGGACGGCGCTGCAGCCCAGGGCGCCGCTGTTGCCCCGCCAGCCCTCGAGGACGCGGCTGCCGCGCCGCCGCCCCTGGCGGACCACTGGGTTTAAAGGGGCCAGGGGTTGCACAGCGGTCCGTTCGAACCGCCAGTGCCCGATCCGCGCGGCCGCCGCGCGATTGCCACTGGCAGGGTCGTGTTGTTTTGTAGCCTGCAGCGGCTACGGCCACGACTACTTAAACTATGATTGTGTTACTACTAATACTACTACAAAGTGCATTGCTACTGGTACTAGAACTAGTATTAGTACTAGTATTAGTACTACTACTACTACTACTACTACTACTACTACCACTACTACCACTACTACTACTACTACTACTACTACTACTACTACTACTACTACTACGACTACTACTACTACTATTGCTACTACTACTACGACGGCTACCACCACTACTACTACTACTATTATTATTACTACTACGACTACTACTACTACTACTACTACTACTACTACTACTACTACTACTACTACTACTACTACTACTATTACCACCACTACTACTACTACTACTACTACTACTACTACTGCTACTACTACTACTACGTCTATTACTACTACTACTATTCCTACTATTATTATTACTAGTACTAATACCACCACTACTAATAATAGTACTGCTAATACTGCGAATAAAGAATAATACTATATGTAATAATAACAATATTGATACACATACGAAAACCACAACCATTACTAAGGCCATTATTACCTAATATGCACATTATGCAAATTATGACGTTTCGCGTATCCCCACCTGCCTATCCAGAAACGGTGCCCATGCGAGTTGCATTGCTCAGGGAAGCTGAAGAGCCTACAGTGGATCAAGATCTGGACAGGCCGACTAGCTGAAGTCTTGGACCAGCCTGCGCAGGCCACGAACGGGCGAGGTGGAGGAGGAGAAGGACGAGGACGAGGACGAGGACGAGGAGGACGATGAGGATGAGGAAACGGAGGAGCAGGATGAGGATGAAGAGGATGAGGGTGAGGATGAGGATGAGGATGAGGATGAGGATGATGATGATGATGATGATGATGCTGATGATGATGATGATGATGCTGATGATGATGATGATGGTGATGGTGATGATGATGATGATGATGATGATGATGAGGGGGAGGATGAGGAGGAGGAGGAGGAGGAGGATGAGGAGGACTAGGACGATCGTTGTATCTTCCGCCAGTGGGACCGCCCGCACGCGTCAAGCACACCCGATTCGGCACACCCCTCACGCGCTGTGTGGCCCCACTGGGAGCTCCACCGAAGGTCCCAGTGGCGCCGCCCGCATGCGTCACGCACTCCCATTTCGGCACACCCGTTGCACTTTTAGTTGCCCCGCACGGGACCCTACCGAATGCACGCACACACACACACACACACACACACACGCACACACACACACACACACACATTTCGGCACTCCCCTCACACATTTCGTGCCCCCATAGGGAGCTCCACCGAAGGTCCCATTGAGACCGCCCGCATGCGTCAGCCACACACTCACACACATCGGCAAACCCCTCGCCATATGGAGGTCCACCGAAGGTTCCATGCGTCACCCACACTCACTTCGGCAAGTCCCTCGTACGTTTCGTGGCCCCATGTGGGGCTCCAGCACGAAACGCCTTGACACGACATTTCGCAACATGCCTGCCCGCTCACATGTGCTAAACACTGTAAACACCATGTGTTGTCTGTCACTCCTTTCTGGAGCCGAGCGGACCACTGGCACGCAGCTCCGACAACGCCTTCGGGGGTAGGACATGGCATGCCGAGTAGTGTGAGGGAGGGGGAAGGCACCAGAGGCATGGCGAGAGCGTTCGAGTGGTCGTTGTGCAACCTTCCCCAGGCCCTGGCCCGTCCACCCTCGCACCCTACCCCATAGAGCCATAAGGCATGTGTTATCCTGGAGGGCAGCGGGGGCGAGGCGTTCGGGGAGAACGCGACAGCGGTATGCGTGCACCCACCGACCGCGGCCAGCGACCCAGATGCGTCGTTCTTTAGTGTTTGACGTGTGTAACCCCTCTGATGCGAACCTTGGTCCCCGTGCAGCGACACACAGAATTTCTGCGAATGTGTGCATGTGCTTGTTTATCGCACGTGGCTAGTCGAGAGGTGGGTGCATGCGTGCCGTTTTGTTTGTTTTCGCCGCCCTAGGGCGCAGATGGTTCCGAGGATCCCGACACCGCCGACGCAGAGCATTCGCCATCGTGGGCTCGCTCGCCAGAGCTTCGTTCGCCAGCCGCTCCAGGGGCGCCGCCCGATGTATCAACAGATCAGCTGGGCCCTTCTCCGTTGACGCCCGTCGGAGGCACCGCGACGCCGATCGGAGGCGGGCCGACGCCACCAGCGTCGCCAAGGCCGCCAGGGCCCCGATCGCCATCTCCACCCTCAGTCGGGGCCGCAGGCGCGGCGACGCCCCCAGGCGCGCCGACGCCGCCAGCGTCGCCAGGGCCGCAGCCACCATCTCCACGCTCAGAGCCCGAGGGGCCGCCTGAGCAGCAGCGATCGCCCCCCTCGCACCCCCCCCATCCCGAACCGCCAGGCCCACAGCCGCCCGAGCCCCCAACGGGACCACCGCCCCCAGAGCCGCCGCCGCCGCCACCAGCTCCCGCGGTGGCGGCCGCACCGCGCAGGCACAACCAGAACCCAGAGTCTGGGGCCTTCGGCCCTTTCAGGCTCACGTGCTCGGTGCAAAAACGAAATGGCGTCACAGTCGACATTCGCATGCAGGCCACATGCAGATTCCACAGAGATGAAGGTGACCACGTGAACACGATGTGCACGAAAAGCAGAAAGGTCAAGACCGACGGCTCGAACATGGATGAGGTCCGTTTGGCCCTAAAGGGCTGGTGTCTGGCGGGGTACGGCCTCAGAGATAGGAAGAAGAGTGGCGGGCGCATGAGCGTCGAACCCGAGCAGTTGCCGCCCGTCGGGGCATATACTGCAGACCAGCTCGAGTCTGCGCTCCCGCCCCCTGGCGATCATGCCCCTCACGACCTGCAAATAGCTTGGCAGTCGGGTGCGCTCCCCGCGCAGCCGATCAGAGATGCGCTCCGCGACGCCGCATCCGCGGCGCTCGCAGCGGACGACAGCAGTGATAGCAGTGGCAGTTCCAGCAGCAGCAGCAGCAGCAGCAGCGACTAAAGTGTTGGATCGTGCCCCACACCGCCCGCCGACGCGGAGCGGAGGCGCCATGATGACGTGGCGGGCGGGAGAGAAAGGGGCAGGCACGGCAGGGAAGGTGGGGAAAGGCAGAAGAGGCGGAGAGGAGGAACGGTGGGCCAGAGCGAAGGAGTGCCAGGGGAGGAGCGGGCGGGGTGGAGGACATGGGGAGCAGACCCCCCGCCCGTCCGCTGGCCAGGCTCCCTCCGACATCGGCAAGTGCAACTTCGCCGTCATCGGCAGGTTCACCGTCATCGGGTTCTCGGCTGAGCTTATCGGCGGGTGCGCCGACATCGAGTACCAGGCTGAGCGTATCGTCGGGTGCGCCGACATCGAGTACCAGGCTGAGCTTATCGTCGGGTGCGCCGTCGTCGGGCACCAGCCCGAGCTCATCCTCAGGTTCGCCGACATCGGACACTTGGCTGAGCTGATCGTCGGGTGCGCCGTCGTCGGGTACCAGCTCGAGCTTATCCCCAGGTTAGCCGACATCGGGCACTTGGCTGAGCTTATCGTCGGGTGCGCCGACATTGGGCACTTGGCTGAGCTTATCGTCGGGTGCGCCGTCGTCGGGTACTTGGCTGAGCTTATCGTCGGGTGCGCCGACATCGAGTACCAAGCTGAGCGTATCGTCGGGTGCGCCGTCATCGGGTACTTGGCTGAGCTCATCGGCGGGTGCGCCGACATCGAGTTCCAGGCTGAGCTTATCGTCGGGTGCGCCGACATCGAGTACCAGGCTGACGTTATCGTCGGGTGCGCCGTCATCGGGTACTTGGCTGAGCTTATCGGCGGGTGCGCCATCATCGGGTACTTGGCTGAGTTTATCTGCGGGTGCGCCGACATCGAGTTCCAGGCTGAGCTTATCGGCGGGTGCGCCGACATCGAGTTCCAGGCTGAGCTCATCGGCGGGTGCGCCGACATCGAGTTCCAGGCTGAGCTCATCGGCGGGTGCGCCGACATCGAGTTCCAGGCTGAGCTTATCGGCGGGTGCGCCGTCGTCGAGTTCCAGGCTGAGCTTATCGGCGGGTGCGCCGACATCGAGTTCCAGGCTGAGCTCATCGGCGGGTGCGCCGACATCGAGTACCAGGCTGAGCTTATCGGCACGGGCGCCCTCGGCGCTCGGCAGGGCAGGCGCCAGCTTAGCCATGGTGCAGCCGAAACGCTCCTCCTCTCCCTCATCCCCCCGACCACCCCCGCCAGTCGAAACACCCAAGACCACACCAGTCGAAACACGTGCTGTCGGCGTACCGCTCCGCATCCTCGGTCTTCGGCGCCCCTCCCCAAGCGAGGAATGATGCACGATGCCATTTCGGTGTCCCAGCGTGGCCGTCTAGGCGCGCCTCGCGCACTTGGCCACAAGCTCAATCATTCCTCAATCGGGTACCCCTTCTGCCGCCACCTTAGATATGAAAGTGGATGGCTTGTCTCCAAAGGCTTTCATGGTACCTTACCCGCTCTTTTGGCACGCCCTCACCCAGCGGCCTCCAACGCGCAATGCAGGGCGCACGCGCGCACAACGTACATGCACACAATGCACATGCGCGACGCACATGCGCGCGCAATGCGCGACGCACATGCGCGGAATGGGTTTTCCCATCGCCACACTCATGTGCAACCATTGTCACCCACGTCGCCACCGCCATTACCAGCATCATCGTCAACCTCCTCCTCCTCCTCCTCCTCCTCCTCATCCGCATCACCACCATCAGCATCAGCATCATCATCATCATCATCATCATCATCACCATCATCATCATCACCATCATCATCATCACCATCCTCTTCATCCCCATCACCATCATCATCCTCATCATTAGCATCATCATCATTATCATCACCATTATCATCAGCATCATCATCATTAGCATCATCATCATTATCATCATCATTATCATCATCATCAGCATCATCATCATCAGCATCATCATCGCCATCATGTTGGTGGACCTCGTCATCATCATCATCATCATCATCATCATCATCATCATCATCATCTTACTCGTCGCCAGCATCGCCACCAACGCCGTTGGGGAGTAGGTCGGGTGCGTGCGCGCCTTCGGGGCACGCGCGCACCACTCTACCTTGTGATGGAGCGCGCTCCCAACCTACCGACGCAATTGTGCCTCGATGGCGCGCGCGCCCTCGAGGCACGGCGCTGGTGACGTTGGCTATATGATATATGTAGGTTGTGTCGTGGAGCCGTGGCCGTATGGTGAAAGCGTGTGCGTGTACAGTATTCCCATAATATTAATACCTCGCTATGCACATACATACATAGCCAACTGCCTGTATATGCGCGTACGCAAATAAATGTTATACATACATGCGTTTGCATGATGGTCTAAACGGGTGACCCACCCAGAGATAACGATACGCATGCATGTATATGTATCGGTGTATAGAGTGAAAATGATATGGGGAGGGAGGGGCAGACTGATATATATATATATATATATATATGTGTGTGTATATATATACATATGTATATGTACACACAGAAAGATATGGATATATACATACATAGGGGGAAAGGAAGGGGCGACATTTCGGACCCCCTCCCTCTCTTCCTCTCTCTCTCTCTCTATCGCTCGTTCGTTCGTTCTCTCTCTCTCTCTCTCTCTCTCTCTCTCTCCCTCTCTCTCTCTCTCTTGTTCTCTGCGCAGTTGCATCCGCCTCTCCCTCCCCGCGCTCTTCTCTTCCACCCATGCCGCCCACCCCATCACCCCTTCCCCCTCGCCCGTTCCCTGAGTTCCTCCCCCGCCCCCCCTTTCCGCCGCCCGCCAGGGCCCTGAGCTGCTGGGCGCGGGCGGCCGCAGAGGCCCCGCCCTTCGCGCCCCTGTTGCCCCTGCCTGCTGGCGCGGGGCCAGGGGCGCGGGGGGCGCAGGGGGAGCGGGGAAAGGGAAGAGACTTGACGGCGACTTGACTTGACGAAGAAACTTGTTTGCCGCGCTGAAGACACCGACGCACTTGGGACTTGGAAGCGCAACTGGAGGCCGCCAGCCTGCTACTTACCCTCGCGCCAGCGCTCCGCCCGTCACTTCGCGCGCCCTCGCCCTCGCTCGCCGCCCGCGGGCGGCGAGCGGGCGCGAGTGCGTGAGGTGTCGGGCGGGCGGGCGGGGGCGGGGGTAAGTGGTGCGTTGTTTGTTTCTCCGTGTTTGGAGGAGGGGGGGGGGGGGCGGGGCGCGGGGTGTGTGGGTGCGTTGGGTAGGGATGGGATGCGGGAAACTGGCGTGTGAGGGCGTGGGGCGGGGTGATGGGGGGGTGCGTGGGGGTGCGGAATGGCGCGGCGGTGTGGTGGATGGGTGGGAGCATGGTTTTTCGCGTTTGTCTGCGCGTTTCTGTTTTTTTACATAGAAACAGATGGATTTCAGTTGCGTTTCAACGTTTTCGGTTGCGTTTCAATGTTTTCGGCTGCGTTTCAACGTTTTCGGTTGCGTTTTGGTTTTTTTGGTTGCGTTTCAACGTTTTCTGGTTTTTTTTGTGCTTTTATGTTTTTTTCTGAGGTTTTTTTTTTTTTTTCTGGCCGTTTGTCACCCGCGTCGTCGCCGAACGCGCCCCGTACATCTCCAGTGCATCTCCCGTACATCTCCCGTGCGCCCCCCGTACACCCCCGTACATCTCCAGTGCATCTCCCGTACATTTCCCGCACACCCCCCGTGCACCCCCGTGCACCCCCGTACATCTCCAGTACATCTCCCGTGCATCTCCCGTGCATGTTTTTGAGCGAGGTACCGAAATAGCGCCATGCGCGAAAAAAAAATGCGAAACGTGCGAAAATATGCGCGCAAGAGCTGAAAATTACGAAAAAAATCGGAAAAGTGCGGAACGGTACGGAAATTTAGAAAAAAAAAAAAAAAAAAAAAAAAAAAAAAAAAAAAAAAAAAAAAAAAAAAAAAAAAAAAAAAAAAACGCGAACGCGCACAAAATAATGCGAACGAGGCGCGAAAAGTGCGAAAAACATGCGAACGGGCGCGAACAAGCGCGAACGCTGGCGAAACCGCGCGGGCACGTGCGAAAAAAACGCGAAACCGCGCGGCAACGTGCGAAACAGCGCGACGGAGTTGCGCAACGTTGGAAAATTGTTGAGGTTATCGGGTTTTGGCTAAAATGTCAAAAATTGGGGTGGGGGTGGGGGGGGGGGGGGGGGGGGAGGGGGGGCGGGGCAGGGCATTGGAATCGTTCCGAAACCGCGGGCCCGCTCAGACGCGGCGTGGGGCAGCAGCCGCCCCCGCCAGCTCGGGGTGACGGGCACCCGTATGCGCGGGGAGGGCGCGAGAGAAAGAGAGAGAAAATCGAGAGAGAGAGAGAGAGAGAGAGAAGAGAGGAGGGAGAGAGAGAGGAGAGAGGAGAGGAGAGAGAGGAGAGAGAGAGAGAGGAGATATAGTATATAGAGAGAGAAGAGAGAGAGATAGAGAGAGAGAGAGAGAGAGAGAGAGAGAGAGGGAGGGTGAGGGCTCGTGGAAGTGTGGCGGGACTGCGCACCAGAGAAAGATTGCGCTCTCGGGAGGTTGCGTTCTGGGGGGATTGCGCCCTGGTGGGGAGGGGTGGGAGGGGGCCACTGGGCTAGGGGGATTGCGCCGTGGGGGGATTGCGCGCTGGGAGGGCGGTGGGCGCTGGGAGAGATTGCGCCCAGGGAGTTTGCGCCCTCGGTGCCCTATGGGGGGCCTACAAAGGGAAATTGCGTCTCAGGGGGTTTGCGTTCTGGGTAGACTGCGACCTGGTGAGATTGCGATCTGGAGAAGTTGCGCGCTGGGAATTGGGAAAGGACGGGTGCGTGCGGGGCGGGGCGGGGCGGGGTGGGGTGGGGTGGGGTGGGCGGGTGTGGTCGGGGGGCGGGTGGGGGTGTGGAGGGGGGGGGGGGGGGGGGAAAGGGAGGGGGGCGGGGGTGGGGGGGGTGGGGGGGGGGGGGCGGGGGGGGGAGGGGGGGGGGGGGGGGGAGATGGGGGTTAGAGGGGGGGGGGCTGCGCCGTTTGAAGTCCAGAAGGGTTTGCGTTCTGGTGCAATTGCGGCCTGGGAAAGTTCGCGCGTTGGGGAAGAGACGGTATGAGGAGGCTGCGCGAACGGAAAGGCGCCTAAACGGGGGTGCCGTTAGTGACCACACACCCAGACCATTATCACTCTTAAAATTCTAAGACATAACACAGCAAATCATAAAAGGGGGGCGCGCCGGCGCCCTTGCTTGTTTTTTTGTGTGAGATGGTT